CAATCGATAAGTCATGTTAAAACAAAGAACATGGCCATCACTCCCTTCGTCTAGGAACCATTGAAAGATGTCTCACAAAACTGAGATTGTTTCTGCCCTACTTGCTGTTCCTGACTCGTTCATCCCTTGCTCTGTTCCCTCCTGTCAGTCAAATATCTCCTGTGCACAGCGGCTTTCATGAGGAGACGCAAGTGGCTGGTTCCCAGGTCGTATGTGAACGTGAACACTGTCTCAGGCTCACTGGTTCAAATCCTGCCAGGCCCCTGGCTGTGTGGCCTGTCTCCCCATTTACAAAGGTGGATATAAATGAGCTCTGCATCATCTTGACTAGTCGTGTGTGTTGGAGTCAGTGCTCAGCAAATGATGGCAGCTACTCCTGGTACCCCCAAGAACGTGGCCTCATTTGATAGTCACAAAAACCCCGTGAGGAATATAGGGAAAGACCCTTGTTGCTGAGAGCAGCTGGGGGCTTGCCTGACCCCACACAGTTCCTCCTGGCGCAGGACGGCTGGCGGGTCCGCGGGCCCACAGGAGTTGCCTTGGTCTGCCCTGCCTCCTTGATACCTGTGCAGAAGGGCATATCCAAGGTTCTCCTCCACCAATGACTTCTTTTCCAGATGCTTTTCCACAAGATGTGGGGCATCTGGACCTCTTTCCCATTTCTCATCTAGCACTTGCCACGATGCATAATTATATATTCATTGGATTTGCTGTGTGCTGTCGGCATCCTCCACTCTTCTGGAAGTTCCCTGGGGAAGACACCTCATCTGTTCTGTTCACCCCCGGACTCCCCGCTCCATCTCCCCAACTTACCCAATCGGCGGGCCCTGCTGCCTTCTCCCTTCCCTGACGGCTCCTTGGAAAGTCTCTGCAGGCTGCAAACTGGGCAGCTGTGGAACTCGCCTCCTTTGTTTCTCAGCTCTCAGGGATCACTGCCTTTTGTTGCCTTGAGGTTCACTGTTTTGAAAAACATTGTTTTGTAGATTTGGTATGTTTTTTTGGATGTTGAGGTGGCCGTGCAAATCAGGTCCCTGTTACTCCATCTTGGCTGGAAGCAGAAGTCCCAAATATAAGCTGTTAACGATGCATTTCTTGACTGCGAAGAGAACAGTTCCTTCGATAAAGCAAAACTGAGTCTGCTAGTTCTACCTGCCTCTCTCTGGTTGCCAGGCTCGTCCCCTCTACAGGCCTCAGGAGTGTGTCATGAATGCAGCAGGCAAAGCCTCAGTGAGCCTCAGGAGAGAGGGTGTTGTGACCCCTGAGATGTCATGACAGCTCCCGCCTTTCTGTCGTGTTTGCAGAAGCTTAGCCAGGAGCAAGGGGGAGTGGCAGAGGGGACAGAGCTCCCGCAGCCATCCCCGTCTGACCACCAGCCGCTCAGAGGCATCGCCCTCCCCCTTGAACCTGAGCACCGACTAGCCTCCTCTCCTCGGCCACAGGACTATCACCTTGCACACTGGCGACCTGTGCATGTCTTTTCTCCTCTTGAAGACTGCTGGCTCCCTGAGCAAGGTGATCAGGGCTTGGCCAGCTCTATAATGATCCATGGGCAACTGGCACCAGACCTGGTGAGGACACGATTTACGTCTAATTCATCTTTGTACTCCCAGCCCTTAGCACGGTGCCAGGCACAGAAGGTGCTCAGTAAATGTCGTGGATGAATGAACGAATGAATGAGCACTTTCATGACGCTATCTTCTCGAATACGAACCATCAGTCTGGCCACATGGTAAGCTGTCCTACCACATCTGGAAACAAGTCCTGGCCAGCCCCAGCGGGAAGGGACTTCAGGCAGGGGCAGACCTGGCCTGTAGCCCAAACATCGGAGTCCCAGCCCTGGCTTCTACGAAAGCTGCTTCTTGATCCTGAATTTCAGTATTTATTCTTTTCTGAAATGCCCCCTCCTGGGCTTCCTCCAGCTCCAGCACTCCCTGATCCTGCCTAATGTAAAAAGAAGGAGTAGAGCGAGGATAAATAAGGATACATTCTTTGAACACCATACTATTTTCTTGGCAAAAGTCAAGATTTATGTCTAGGACTAGGATCACAATGCACACGTGACCTACTAGCACACGGCTGAATATCAGAGGGCACCCGATGCAGAAGGATCCTCTCAAACCAGTCTCCCTGGCTTCAGTATCAATTGTGTCTGGAAAAAGCAAGCAAGAAGGAAATCCCACCTCATTAACAGAGAGCGTGAAGAAAAGAGCTCCAGAAGAGGCACTCGGAAATTTAGGGTCAAATTCCAAGTAAGCTTTAGAATCAACCCCCCTGTTCTAAGTTGATGGAATTTCTCAACAGCGGCCCTGGTGGCATTTTTCGAGGCACAGTTCTACCTGGTTGGATATCCAGGTCTTTGTCGTTGTTAACGTCCGTAGCTGCTGGGCTCACTCATCATGGCAACCAAAAGCAGCCCCCCTGTATTTCCGAGTGCCCGCTGGAGCGGTGCTGCCCTGGCTGAGACCACACGCTGGGAGATGGATGCCCCGGCCACAGGAGTGGTGGGTAACCTGTGGGCCATTGGTGGGGAGGTGTGAGGGTGCCCATGGGCTGCAGGCATGGCCCTGGGGTCTTGCCCAGAGGTGTTACAACCTGAAGCAGAATTGACAGAAACTGAAGTTGCTTCTTTTGCAGTGAAAACGAGAAGGAGGCAAACCCTTTGGGGTTGGGGCCCCATGTGTCTAGTTGCATTTCTGACTCTCTAGCGTGACTGCTGCTGCGGGGATAACTGGGCCTGGATCTGCACCGAGTCACCCCGGCAAGGCTCAGCCAAGCCAGGGACACCCCAAAATGAGGACCTCGGGGGGCAAGGATTTTGTGTTTGATGTTTCACCAAGAAAAGCACCGAAGAAGTTTGTCATGGGGAGAATGAGAAGCCTTTTGGATTGCCTTTCCTTTATTTTACAGTTTATTCCTATTTTGAATTCTATGTATCTTTTCAGTGTTGGGGTTTCTAAAGGCCACAATTGGAGAACAATTCAGTAACCTGTAACCACTCCCTTCTTTCTGTCTTTCCTTGTTCCAAACGGAGTGTAGAAGGTACAAACACTTGGGAAACACAGCATGGCAGTTCCTATAAAGTTAACCATACACACACCATAGGAGCCAGCGATCCCTCTCCTAGATGTTTATCCCAGAGAAATATGAAAACGTATCTATATCAAGAAAACATGTCTATGCCACGTATGCGAATGTTTATAGCAGCTTTATTCACAAGTCAAAACCTGGAAAGAGCCTAGGTGTCCATCAACAGGTGAACGGATGAACAAATTGTGGTACAGTCATAGAAGGGAATATTACTCAGAAATAAAAAGCCAGGAACCACTGAAGTATGCAACAATGTGGATGAATCTCAAAAACACTTTGCTAAGGGGGGCCGGCCCGGTGGCCCAGTGGTTAAAGTTCTTCATGCTCTGCTTCGGCGGCCCAGGGTTCACAGGTTCGGATCCCAGGCGTGGACGTACTCCACTCATCAGCCATGCTCTGAAGGCATTCCACATACAAAGTGGAGGACAATTGGCACAGATGTTAGCTCAGACCTAATCTTCCTCAAGCAAAAAAAAAAAAGAAGAGGGTTGGCAACGGATGTTAGCTCAGGGCGAATCTTCCTCACACACACACACACACACACAACCACTTTGCTAAATAAAGGAAGCAAAAAAAAAAAAAATACACAGCATGATTCCATTTATATGAATTTCAAGAACAAGCAAATCTAATCTTTGATTTTAGAAAGCACAATAGTGGTTGCCTCCAGGGTGGGGACTGACTGGAAGCAGGCAGGGAAACTTTCTGGGGGGATGGAAATAGTCTGTGTCATGGTAGAGATGTGGCTTACGCTGGTGTACACATTTGTCAAAGCTGATCAGACGGTACACTTAAGATGGGTGCATTTCACTATATGTAAATTACACCTTGATGATTATCACAACAACGATGATAATGAAGCATCCATGGTGGCCTTTGGGAAATCATCCATGTATTCCCCACAGACTGTTGCACCTCTGAAGATGCCTATTAAGTGGACACAGAGTCTGGGGCACAGTTTCGATTCTTTTGCGCATATTCACATGTGTTGAAGACCTGCCCAATGCCGGTAGTGTCTGTCTGTCCGTCCCTCCCCCCCTCCCTCCCCACCTCTCTCTCTTTCCCTCCCTCTTCCTCTCCCTTCTTCCCTCTCTCTTTCCCACCCTCCCTCCCTCTCTCTGCCTTTCCTTTTGGAATTCCGGGCACTTCTCTCCAGTTGTGTCCGGGTCTTCCCAGAGCCCCCAGGATGAGGCTGCGCGATGTCTCCGCTTTTCCCAGGGAAGAATGAACTGGCTTTGTTTTGAGTCTACACCTGTGCTCTGGGTCCTCCCCACACAGCCCGTGCCAAGGGGGAGGACAGGTTCACCCCAAGGACCCCATGGACTAACAACAAGGGGGTCCTGTAGCACCCAATGTCAGATGCTTTGTCAATGACAGACCTTTCCAAATTTTGGCCACCCTGTGCAAACTGAGACGGCTGCAGGTACCCACCGTGGGCCAAATCCAAGAAGGGAGAGAGCTTGCCCCTCGCAAGAAATTAGCTTAAGAGCTGACACTGATGGGCCTCCCTTTCTCTCCTTCCGCCCCCAGTGTGCCCTGTGAGCCTTGCTCCCCACCCCCACCTTCAGAGGAAGCAGATTTAATGCCTCAACTGAGAGAAGGAGATGTTCTGTTATTTTTCATGGGAAATTAAACCTGACCCTGCTGTCGGTTAGCTCATGCCAAGGGAGGATGGATGGCCTCTGGGCGCGGCGCTTAACCCCTGCTCGGAGCGCGCCGCCTGGCTGGGGGCCAGCCATGATGTCACCTGCCGCCAGGGTGGGGGTAGGGGTGGCAGGACAGGTCAGACAGCCTTCATCTGGGCGATGGATGGCGGTGAGGCCACCCTTGGTGTCACCCACGATGGTCCACCTCTGACACCAGCCGGGATCCGCCCATGCAGGGGAGACTCAGGCTGCTCCCGTCTCTTTCAGCTCCCAACTCTACCTCGTGCCCCGCGGAGGAAAGCTGGTGGTCAGGGCTGCTGATCGTCATTGCGGTATGCTGCGCCTCCCTGGTGTTTCTCACTGTGCTTGCCATCATTTGCTACAAAGCCATCAAAAGGTGAGTGCCCACCGGCTCTGAGCCCTAAGGGACCCCAGCTGAGCTTGGGGACCCCCCGTCTACTCCCACCAAGTTTTTTTTAACTATAAAATTTGTTAAGCATGTAAGAAGCAGAGAGAATGTACAATGAGCCCTTCTCTACCTTCACCCTGATTCAGCAGCTATCAAGATTTGGCTAATATTTGCTACATCTCTTGGTTTTTTTCTCTTATCTGTGTCTTTGCTGAAAGATTTTAAAGGTGATTTCAGACATTAGGGCCCTGCCATTTTTAAGGCGCTCAGTTCAGCAAGCATTTGATGAGCACCAATGATAAGCCAGGCTCGGTGCAGTATAAGGTGACCCTACCTGTAAGTCACAGGCCCTGCCATCGGGAGCTTGCTGGAGGCCAGGGAGTACGGAAATAATCCCTCCAGGGTGGGTGATGGAGCCACAGGACGGAGGCGCCATGCTGGTTTGGAGTGGGAACTGGGTTTTGGAGTCAGATCTAAATTCAGACTCCAGTTCAATCTCTGTGACCAGGGGGAAATCACTTTACCTCTCTGGCCCTCGGTTTCCCCATCTCTGTAACATGAGGGAAAAGAATAACAACCTCCTACTGTTCTGAGTGGTGAGAGGCCTTCCGTAAATAGTAGGCACAATATGTACACTCTGCAGGGCCCGGTACACGTACGTGCTCACCAAGTGCTGTACCAGCTTCCATTCTTTCAATAGTTGCCGATAGAGGAAGAATGATGAAGCGGAGGGAGCGATGCTCTCTTGGGAGAAGAGAGAGGCTGAGATGCCTCAGAGAAGGTTTTCAGTGGCTGTGACGCCCCAGCTGGCTCTGAAGGATGCATAGGTGTGTCCAGTGGGGTCACGAGTGATCCAAACAGCAAACTGTCTCTCTGTGACGCTCACTGTCATTGCTGTAGCTATCATCTCACTTTGCCTCGCAAAAAAGGTTACCAGGCACTGGCCCCTTGTTGAGTTGGGGTCTGCAGCATAGGGTGGCTATTTTCAGGGCCGGAGGAGGTTTAGGCAGGGTCCAGGGCCCTCAGTACGGCAGAGGAGGCCACAGCGTGAATGGCGCCCTCTGCAGCTGCAACACAGCAGCTCTGGCTAGATCCCCTGATTTCCAGTCTTAGACGCCTCCAAAAAGTGGCCTTCCTCCTTCACAGGGACAGAGAGAAGGGGAAGACAGACTCAAAAGACCAACAGAAATGTCGCCAAACCCTCAAGGGTCATAGGCTTTGTTAATATATTTCTAAGGGCATTTTTACAAATCCCCCAAGGCCCAAAGGTAGAGGATCTACACTAAGAACAGTCCTGAACGCCTAAAATAGTGAACTCTCCCCTTTTAATCGGCTGTTCTATGTGATTTCACTTTAATAATTCAAAAGCAGAAAGAGTGAAATATCAAGTTAAAAGTGTTAAAGCGTGTGCACAGTCAGCCACGCAGGGTGAAGGGCCCTGGGAGCGTCCTGGTGACTGGCCGGAAGAGGCCACCGGAGGGCAGGGTCCAGGTGCCACAGCTCCCAGCCGACAGCCCCTTCTGCCTTCCACACTGCAAGGCAATTTCCTCCAAAAGTGATAAACAGATAAGTACCCAGGGAATAACCATGGCCCCTCTCGGGGCACGTGGCCTCCCCAACATTCTCTTAGTTCCTTTTTGCCACATCTCTTCCCAATCAGCTCCATTTCACAGCTGAGGAAACTGAGGCGGGAGCAGTGGGGTCAGAACCACACGCCGCCCAAGCCCGGCCCTGACCCCAGCTCTGGGTTGGTATTGGGCTGACGACAGACCTCGCTATTCCTGTCTGCCCTTCCTCAGGGGTGCCCAGAAGAGGGTCTCTGGGGGTGTGGTGAGGTGTGTCTGTGCCCCTCTGAGGCCAGAAGGACAGACAGACAGGCCCCAAGACTCTGTAACTCAGGGGGAGGCCTGGCCTTGGACGCTCCCAGGAGACATGGCCAGTCCCATTCCCAAGTGTTTTAGGGTGCCTACCGTGTGCCTGGCTCTGGGTGTAGACACAGGTAAGACCACAGGGCCGTGGGGGCAATGAGTGAACAACCATGTTACAAGGCAGGTGGTAGTGAGGCTGCGGGCGGCTGGCTGGCAGCCTGTCGTGGGTGCCCAGAGGAGTCACGTTAACTCTGATCCGGGTGACCCAGCATTGGAGCTGAGAGCCTGCTGCAAGGGGAGGGGGTCTAAGAAGCCGAGCAGGGGTGGCTCTCCAGACAAAGGCACCTGTGTGAGCAAAGGCTGCAGGGCACCAGGAAGCCTGCAGGACACCGGAGATGAGGCTGGAGGGAGCCATGAGCCTAGCGGAGGAGGCCTTTCTCACCAGGCTGAGCAGCTTGCGTGTGACTCAGGAGACACTGGGAGCTACTGAAGGTTTTTGAGGAAGAGTGTGCAAGGTCCACCTGGGGCGCTGGCAGAGAGCGGGGCCAAGTCCCCTCAACGACCCCCCTCACACTTTCCCCTTTCTCTCAGGGAAAGGCAGCAGCATCTTTTTAATAAGCTCAGGCTCTTCCAAAATACACACAGGGTCACTCTTGCCTCCCTCTCTGCCCCAAACCTCTCCTGAAGAAAACCGCTGCCTCTTCAACGGCAGGAGGGCAGGGGACACACCCCGAGAGCAGACTCACACTAGTATCGCGCTGTGGCAGCCAGCTGGGGATGTCCTGGGGATGTCGCAGTGTCCCCAGCTATGGCATGCGGGCGTGGTTTCAGCGGGGCTGGAGGTCTCCCGGGAAGCCGTGCGGGGGCGTCACCCGCACCTCCCTTCAGAGCAGGCGCAGGGGCCTCCTGTCTGCCCCTTGCCCCTTCCACAGGCTCTGAGCTCTTGCGTCTCGGGTCTGCCCTGGAAAGAAATATCACCCTAGATGGCTCAGTTGATCCCTGCCGGGGGTGTGGGCGGGGCTCCCTCGAGGGGTGTGAGCCGGGCTCTCCACGGGTGTGGTCAGGGCTCCCTCAGGAGTTGGGGGCTGACCCAGGGAGCAAATGGGGCCTGTGAAGGCCTCGCGGTCTCCAGCAGTGGGAGTGGTTAGCACCCCTGGGACGACCGGCTAGAGGAGGAAATAGTGCCCTGGGAACACAGAGAGCTTCCCAGGAGGGCGGCTCAGCAGGAGCTGTGGTTGGAACAGCCAGAGAAGCAGCCCCAAAAGAAGAAGGAAGAGGAAGGAAACGCCCCAACCTCTCTCCGTGCCTTCCGGTCTCCCGAGGGTGCTTCCCATTGGCCAAACCCAAGAAATGAGAGCCCGGGAGATGCAACGAGTGGTAGGCGTCAGCCTCCGGGGACACAGGGTGGATGGGGGTGGTAAATGGAGACCGGGGCGCACTCCCTTTTCTGCCCGAGCGCCATGATCAGCATCCTCCTCTGGTCCAAGACCTAGCCCTCTGCCCTCAAAATCCTCCTAATCCAGAGAGGGCGTCCTGGCACACGAGAACGGATATTCAGTGACAAGAGGGGCCTCTGCTCACCGGCAAGTGGAGGCAGAAACAGAGGCCAGCGCTCCCGGAACCGGCCTGGAAGGAGGCCTGAGGGGGAAGGGAGCCCTCACCCGTTGGCGGAGGGAGAAGGAGGCAGCGGAAGTTACACCCCAGTGTAGAACACCAACGTCGCTCACTGCTCCCCCCGCCCGCTGACCTCTGCTGGGGGCCGTAAGAGATAGCCTGTGCAAGCCAGCTGTCTGTCTGCATTTCTCTCCAGAGTAAATGGAGGATGTCTTGCTCATGGCCAATTCTCTTTGGTTAATAATTCATCTGAAACATGCCTTTTCTCTCAGGAAACAAAAGCATTTCATGTCCCTGTAAAACCACTAAAAGGAAAATTCAGAGATAAACCCTGCTTTTTTTAAAACTCTCGCCGCCTGGAGTCCTAGGGGAGGATTTCCGAGGGATCTTTGTGAATGGCCACAACACAGGCTTCCGGAGCCGGATTGCTGGGAGGGTGGTTCTAGAATCAGCTGGGGTAGGAAGGAGGCGAATCTGGAGATGCCAGCTTGGCCTCTGCAGGGATGGGAGGAGGCTGAGGAGCAGGCGCAGAAGGGCCCTCACTGGGCCTTGACCTTGGCGGGAGGTGGGGTCTAATCCCCGCTTCCCATACAGACTCAGTGACTCGGACATCAAAGTCCCAGCTCTGTGCTGAGTGATACGAGCTCTGGGGGCTCCGAGGTGGGGGATCCCAGAGGAGGGACGCCTCACCCAGACCTGGGCCCCAAGACGTTTCTGGAGGGGCCTGGGCATTAACCAAGCCAAAGGGGCAGGAAGGGGTGTGGCTCACAGTGGAACTAGCACATGCAAGGTCCCCAAGTCCCTGGTCAACTACCCCAAACTCTAGAGGGTCCCCAGCTGTGAGGAGCCCATGCGGTTTACCTTTCAGTGGCCTCATTGCCCTGAGTTTGCTGTGAACAGCTTCTTTATCCACAGCTTCAAGATGGTAAAGCCAAGGGGCCGGCCAATGGCACAGCGGTTAAGTTCACACATTCCACTTCGGCGGCCCCTGGTTCGCCGGTTCGGATCCCGGGTGCAGACGTGGCACTGCTTGGCAAGCCGGGCTGTGGTAGGCGTCCCACATATAAAGTAGAGGAAGATGGGCAGGGATGTTAGCTCAGGGCCAGTCTTCCCCAGCAAAAAGAGGATTGGCAGCAGTTAGCTCAGGGCTAATCTTCCTCAAAAAAAAATTTAAAAAGATGATAAAGCCCTGGAGTGCTTGGGCGTTCTGTACTCCCATGCTCCCTCTCAGGCCTCCTCCCCACCCCTACACCTGGCATGCACCTGTGATCAGACAGCAAGATACAATGGAATTGGTAAAAGAACCCAGGACTGGGAGTCAAGATCCCCGGGTTCCAGTCCCACCCAAGCCCGGTGGGTACCACTGCCCTTGCTGGGCCTCAGTTTCCCTTCCCTGTGAAATGAGGGTCCTCCGTGTCTCTGTGCATCTCTGAGCCTTTGTTTCCCATCCCAAGTTGGCAGGAGAACCACTGCCGTTGGTCAGCCCGCCGCTCAGACCTGACCGAA